TCGAATCCCTGAGCTCACACAATCCTCTCACCTCCACCTCCCGAAGTGCTGAGATTACAGGCGTGAGCCACCACAACCAGCCACAATATTTGTTCGTTGGTGTCCGGCTTAGTCTACATAGTATAATGTTCTCAAGGTTCATCCATGCTGTGGCATGTAACTGAATTTCCTTCCTTTTTTGTTTGTTTTTTTTGTGTTGGAGTCTCACTCTGTCACCCAGACTGGAGTGCAGTGGCCGCTCCCGGTCACTGCAGCCTTGACCCGCTGGGCTCCAGCAATCCTTCCACCTCAGCCTTCCAAGTAGCCGGAATTACAGGCGTGCACTACCACGCCCGGCTAATTTTTGACTTGTAGAGATGAGGTCTCGCCAAGTTGCCCAGGCGGGTCGCGAACCCATGGGCTCAGGCAATCCACTCACCTCAGCCTCCCAAAGCACAGGATTACAGGCTGAGCCTCTGAGCCCGGCTTATTTTATTTTGTTTTTTGATTTATTGTAGAGATGAGTTCTTGCCAAGTTGCCCAGGCTGGTCTCGAACCCATGAGCTCAGGCAATCCTCTCACCTCGCCTCCTCAAATGTGGGGATTATAGGTGTGAGCCACCACGCCCAGCTTTTTTTAAGGTTTTAAAATTTATTATATTTTTTTAGAACTAGGGTCTCACTCTGTCACCCACGTTGGAGAGTTGTGGCACAATCATACCCCACAGCAGGCTCGACCTGTACACAAGTGATCCTTTTGCTTCACCCTCTCGAGTAGCTGGGACTACAGGTGTGCGCCACCACACCTGGCTCATTTCTTGACTTCGTTGTAGAGACAAGGTCTTGTTATGCTGCCCGGGCTGGTCTCAAACTCCTGGGTTCGAGCAATCCTCCTGCCTTGGCCTCTCAAAGTGCTGGGATTACAGACATGAGTCACTACATCCGGCCATACATTTTTAGATTTAAGAATTCAATCTTAAAAGGATAGGAAGAATTTACTGAAAGGTAATGTTAGAATTTTAATTGATGTTCCGTATTAGAGTCATAAGCTATTGCTGTAGGGCATTTGCTTTTCTAACTGCATTGATCCGGTGAGAGATGATAGGGGGAGATGGATGGCCCTGCAACTATTTTATATGGGTTGCAGCTGTAGCGGGCATGGAGTTAAAAGGTTTATTGAAAATAGGAAGCCCGAGAAGCACTCAGGATCAGGGGCTGCATGGGAGGCGGGGCCCTTGGGAGTGCCATCAGGTTATGGGAGGTGGGAGGAATGCAGAATCAAGGATCAATCCTGGCCGCCTCGGTGGCTCAGCCTGTCATCCCACCACTTTGGGAGGCCGAGGTGAGTGGATTGCCTGAGCCCACGGGTTCGAGACCCACCCGGGCAACTTGGTGAGAA